AATGACAAGAATACCACTCGTGATGAACAAATCAGTGGATCAGATGTACGGCCAAAGAGTTCATCAATTGATAAACAATTGAAGTCAAGTAGAGATGAGATGAAAGGTGTGAACGAAAGCATGAATGAAGACATGAGTGAAGACAGCAATGGTTTGAATTTGTGGTCAATTATCAACGGAGCGAAAGATAGTTTTCAGGAACCGATTGAAACAATGAAGAGTTTAATGGATGTTAAGAAACATACGTTTGTGAAGATTACACCAAATCCCTCGACATCTCAATCCTTACCACAAGAGATGGTAAACGAAGAGATTATTGATATCAGTAATGAAGACTCGACGCCATTGACGAGACAGGCATTGATGTGTCGGCCAAATGCGGGCCAAAAGACATTCAAACCTTTACTATTGTCTTCTCCGAAGTCTCAAGAGATGGACAACAAAGAGATGATTAGAAAGAGAGCCAAAGAATTGGTCCAAAAAATGGAAACACAAAAGCGTTTGAGGAAAAGGATTGTCAAACATAGCGGCGAAGACTCGGCGAAGAAAATGCCATCAAATGAAAGGATATGTCCGCTCGATATCAATGAAAGGAAACAATGTTTTAATTTGAAGTCAAAGACATTTATTTGTCCCATAAATGAGTGCCACAAGAGTTGCCGAACAGACACTTCATTTCGGAAACATTTGAAAGTATATCACATCGAAAGACAATTTGTGTGCGATTTTGAAGGCTGTGGTAAAGCCTTTACTTATAAACATCTTTTAACACAACATTCACTCATTCATAAGACAATTAAACCGTTTAAATGTGATTTCAATGGCTGTCAATATCGAGGCGTTGATCGACAATATTTGAGACAACACTTGAAGACACACTTAACGGACAGAGTATTTAAATGTGATGTCAGCGGCTGTGGGAAGACATTTAAGGGCAGCTCTCATCTATCGGTACACCAGAGGACACATAACACCGAACCGACGTTTAAGTGCGGGACCGACGGCTGTAATGATATGTTTCATAGCGCGCATCTACGGACCAAACATCAGGTTATGGTTCATAACCGACAGCCTTATAATAATCGGGTTTATAAATACCGGTGTCAATGGCCCGGATGTGATTGGTTGGGACACGACGTGAATAAACACCAGCGCATACATACGGGTGATAAGCCGTTCGCCTGTGTTTGGCCCGATTGTGGCAAACGGTTTAGAGTTAAGGATAAACTTAAAGACCACATGAATATTCACAATAATGTTAAACCTTATGCCTGTCATTGGCCCGGATGTCAGTACACGTCCGCCAGTAGTCCTAATGTTATCAAACACGCAAAACAAGTCCATAAACTGTAAACTAATTGTAGTTTAATTTAATTAAACAAAATTGTCAAATATTTGTAATGCATTTGTTGTTAATTATAACAACAATTAATTTGACTCAATGTATATTTGAATTTTATATAAAAATTGAAAATAAATTGTTTAATTTGTGTGAATATATTTAACATATGCTGTGATTAAATAATTTCGTTTATATATTTTGTAATTATTATAAATGTTTACTAATTATCAGTCAATTAATAAGATTATTTAAATTATGGTTAATTTATATTCGTTTCGTGTGAACGTAATTATTGATCATTAGTTCACTTCTCATGTGTTTTGTGTTTACATTTTTGTCACCAAATTATTAATTAGTTTTGCATTTAAATTGTACTCAAATTAATTGTGAATTAGTTTTAAATGTGATTTTGAATTGAATTGTAGACACCGGATAACATTAATTGTTTAGATTTAACATTCAGTTGTTATGAACGCTTTCTGAATACAATAATGTATTCATAAATGAATGTTGATAAATTAAAAGACAAATACAAATTCCTATCCC